ATCTATCCTCTTAAGAATCAAACTGCAGACCCGACCCCTGAGGACTAAGATGGAATGGCTCTTTTCCAATAAGAAGGGTCTCCGGTTCTCTACATTCACCATACGAAACACAGCAGTGTTAAGCTACTATTTTACGCTGGTATTCTTTGAGGGTGTGGTCATTTCCCGGTCGAGCCGACCCATTCGTGCTACAACCATAATATAGCTGCAACATGGTTCTACCACGTCAATTGCAGCAATGCTGCTGTAGGTAGGTGTAGGTTCGTGGTAGAGTCATGCTGCAGCTTACTATAGCTGCAGAACGAATTGATCGGCTCGACCGGGGAAGGACCACGCTCTCACAGAATACCAGCGTAAAATAGCAGCTTAACACTGCTGTGTTTCGTATAATGAGTGTAGAGACCCGGAGAACCTTTTTACTGGAAACGAGATAAAAAAGCTTTATAGATATACCATCTTAATCCTCAGGGGTGACAACGCATCTTCACTTTGATTCTTAATTAAGAAATAGATGTAGATATGTGTAGATATAGGTCTCAGTTCCCACTTACGTTTATCTTCAATTAAGAATCAAAATGCGGATGCGTTATCACCCCTAACGACTTAGATAGATTGACAGTCAATAGGATTTCCGGTTCCCGTTACTCGTCATACGAAACACAGCAGCAATACGCTAATATTTTACTAATATTATTTTAATAATATTATTAAAATTAAAAAAAAAAAACATGTAAAAACACGCATTGATCGTGGGCTGTAATGATTCTAGAGAGAATTATCCTGGTGATCCTGATCAGGATACTAGGATAAATTTATTAAATTATTGTATTGTAATCGGTCCTTGATACGAGTGCAAATTTTCAAGTCCATCGGCCGTCTACAAGTTTTTGAAAATTATATTAAAAGATATTTTTTTTTTATAGGAGAGGGGGCAAACGAGCATGCGACTCACCTCATGCTAAGTGACTACCGCCGCCCATGAACAACTGCTGCACCAGGGGAATTGCAGATTTTATTGCATAGATATAGATAGATAGATAGATAGATAATATTATGGAATTTATGGATGATAACAACCCCTGGAAATGAGGTGATCGCTACCAAGCTATTTATAATTTGTTGTGTTGTTAATTTGTGTAACATCATGATTGTAAGCTGTAATTTAAAAAAAAAGTCCCGCTGGGTTTCTTTGTGGTTCTTCCCAGGACAGAGGTTTTTTCCGAACCAGTGGTAATCAAACAAAAGGGTGACTTTCAATAAGTATTACTTATAATCTATATTGAATAAAAAAGTTTCTGTTTCTGTTTCTGTCACACGCGAAGCTAATAAATGCGTGTTAAAAAGTTTCATGTATATTTCATGTTTTAAACGTAGGTACTACGTTTTGTTAGAAATAGATGAGAACCTAGGTATCTAAGCATAATATATCTTATGTAGCCCTACTGCGGAGATATTGTATAAGACCTACTGACCCATTTTCCTTACGCAGTGTGACGTCACTGCAGCATTGCGCTATGACGTATTCACGACCGGCCAAGGTAAATCCGGCCTTAAAGCCGCGCGACACGCTCCAGTATAATTCGAGCCTACTACCCCGGACCGGTGACAGCGAAAATTGTGACTAATTCTAAAGTAGCACGGTCGGTATTTGGAACAACGGGCTTGTACGAAATGTGCTCGTTTAAAATGGCACTTATTACAATGGAGATAGAATTTCGCGATTAATAAAGTATTATGTATTTTTTTAAGTTTTGTACATGAAAGGTCAGATGGGTATTGTATGTGATTTTTCTAAGTGGCTGAGACTGGATTATGCCTGTGCCAACTTCAAATATAAAAAAAAAAATTAATAAAAAAGGTGCTGCTGAAAGTTATAACTGTTATCGTTGTATTAGTTAAAATAATTAACGTGTTAATATAAGTCTTTACTCTCCTTCCGATAATATTAACTTAGAATTAAAAATTGTTTTTTTTTTTAAATTTTAATAACAAAGTTCGTTTTGTTGCTTCTTCCGACACCCACAGGTTAATATGGGGTAATGGATTCTCTTACTAACCCTGCTTAGCGTTGCAACTATAGCAAATATAGGTTTGGTTATTAATATCTTTTTACGTGGTAGAGCCATGCTGCAGCTATATTAGTAGTATAGTTGTAGCACGAATGGGTCGGCTCGACCGGGGAAGGACCACGCTCTCACAGAAAACCAGCTTAAAATAGCAGCTTAACGCTGCTGTGTTTCGTATGGTGAGTGTAGAGAACCGGAGACCCTTTTTACTGGCAAGGAGACATTCCATCTTAGTCCTCACGGGTGGCAACGCAATCTACATCTTGAGTCTTTATTTAGGATAGATGTAGATGTCTATGGGTCACAGTAACCACTTACTATCAGGTGGACTGTGTGCTTGTTTGTCACCCTAACCTATAAAAAAGAAGATATTCATAAAAGTAGAAAAATTAAAAAAAATAGTTAAAAATATGCAGAAAATTAAAGAACAAACCACCGAGGCATTGTTTTGTGTATTAATATAATACTCTAGAAATTGATAAACTTTTATTAAAAACTAACTTCCTCAATTAAATTACATTGTGTAGGTAACAAAAAACTTTACCTCAGTGTCAACTAGCGACATCTGGTGAGCAGAAAATTATCAGCCCTCAATGAAATATTTTATTCCTACAACTGTATTTAATAATTTGTTTATGTTTTATTTTATAGTATAAAATTTATACTATGTATAAATTTTAACTGAGGAGATAAAATAACTGAGGAATTAAAATCGGCACTAAAATTTAAAAAAAATGAAGAGGGCTCTTCAAACTACACATCTTTTTTATTTATCTATGTAGTTCTAAGTTAATAATTTTTAACGTCTTTATTCTAAAATAATAAATTTATAAGTGAGTGTGACAAGCGAGCACACAGGGCCTCTTACGTAATCAGTGTCATAATTTCACCTAATTACGTGGTTGCGGATGCCTTGGCACGTAGGCACCTATATCTTATAAACTTCGGGTAATTATTAAAATGCAGAAGCGTTATTAGTCCCGAGAACTTACTACTAATAAGTAAAAAAGAAAAGAAAAATGAATATTCCCTACAACATAAGCATTTATGCCCAAAAAGTTATTAAACATTGTATTAAAAGGAGTGTGTTTTTTTCCCAAAAAGCTATTAAACAGTTTGATTAGACTTAAAGATTAAACCGTGTAAAAATATCTAATACTTCATATCCTAAATCCTTCGTGTCCTAAGAGATGACAGAGGAAATCAAATCAGGAGATGGGCGGCATGGAGCAGCGTCATCCTAAATAAAAAACTGCGGTTGCCAACCCAACTTGCCAAGCGTGGCAACTATGGCGACTATTCCCCCAATGAGGCAATCTATGTGAGAGGCCTATCTATGTTCAGCAGTGGACTTTTATAGGCTGTAATGGATGGATTAAGATAATCTACCAGGAGCACAGGACTCAATGAGGCATCACTTTTTTATAGGATAAGGGTGACAAACGTGCACATAGTCCACCTGATGGTAAGTGGTTGCTGCGGCCCATAGACATCTACATCTATTCTCGATTACGAATCAAAATGCAAATGCTTTGTCACCCGTGAGGACTAAGATGGAATGCCTCTGTTCCAGTAAAAAGGGTCTCCGGTTCTCTACACTCACCATACAAAACACAGCAGCGTTGAGCTGCTATTTTACAATGCTATACTGTGAGAGCGTGGTTCTTCCCCGGTCGAGCCGACCCATTTGTGCTACAACTATGTATACCTACTACTAATATAGCTGTAGCATGGCTCTGCCATGTAAATTTTATAGAAAAATGGTGACAAATGAAATTACCATTTGGGTACGGAACCTTAAAAAGGGACCAACAATTCTCATTGCTCCCTATACGAAACACAGCGGCATTGAGTTTGTGGCGGGTGGAAGGAAAAGGGGAGATCCCCCGCCGGGCAAGGTGTTCTGCCCGGGGAGCGGCCAACGCTCCGAGTGGTAGTTCGGAGCTATTCTATATATTATACTGCTTTAACTTCGGAACTTTGTTAGCGCGATTTAGGCTTCGATGTGTTTCGCTTATGGCGCGACGACAACGCCGCCACGAGTTGCTATTTTACACTGTACACCGTGAGAGCGTGATCCTTGACCAGTCGAGCCGACCCATTCGTGCTACAACCATAATATAGCTGCAGCGTGGCTCTACAGCGTATCCTTACCATCAAGAGGACTGTAACTTCATAGAGAATTTATCACCACTGTCTCAATTTATCATCATTGTCCACTGTCTTGTGTACGCCTGACGTGAAACCACAGAGTGGAGACGAGGAAGAATCAAGGGTGATCGCCAATCTGTCATACGTGACGATTAAAGCAAAGAACGATGGCGAATAATTATTGATGGAATTATTAAGCGTTCACGAGTACTTATAAGAAAAAAACATCATACATAATTGAAAACTAAATTGTTATAGTTGTTATTGTTATTCAAAGAGTCAAAGTTTTACACCATACAGCCTAATCGGATGTCTTTTATTCAAACTGTAATATCTTTTATTCCTGACTTCCTGCAGTAGTATGACTGAAGAAAAAATTGTTCAGGCATTCAAACTATATTTTACACATTTTTTATTGCCAGAATTAAAAAACATGTCAATAACATTTTGGGAGTCCGCCATTATTGTTACTCGTTACAATGAGAGAGGCCTATGTCCATGGATTTTAACGGGCTAAAATTTTATGATGATGGTGTAGAAGAAATATTTGTCGCTTCTACTGAACGGAAATAGTATTAGAAATTTAATGCAAGGAAATCATTATCATCATTAATACAGCCACAAGTCCACTGCTGAACATAGGCCTCACCTAAGGAATGGCACAAAGCACGGCCCCGAGCCACCTGCAGCCATCGACTCCCTGCATCTCTTACCAAGTCGTCACTCCGTCTAGTGGAAGAAAATACTATAAGAAGCTTAATTATATATTTCTTTTTGTTACAGGAACGAGGCGGCTTAGACAATATGAGATCTCTCGAGCACTATCTAACCGATATCATGAGAGCAGACACATCTGATCACATGAAAGGTAGGTGTTTTAAAATCCCAATAATATTTTTGAACTAATTATTGGACTTCAAGTGAAAACATTCCACTTTAAATGTATTGGTTGTACCTTGTTCTTGTTTATATTATAAATATATTATATAGGTGATAAGCGAGCGTACAGTCCACCTGATGGTAAGTGGATGGTGTAGCCAATAGATATCTACACCTATCCTAAATTGAGAATGAAAATGAAGATGCGTTGTCACTCTTGAGGAGTAAGATGGAATGCTTCGTTTCCATATATACTTATTATCTAATATATAAAGACTAATGTTTGTTTGTTCTTATTTTATTCACTACCATACCGTTTATCAGATTGTGCTAAAACTTTGTCAACTTATTGCCTGCACCTGCGCGAAAGTTATAGGCATAGTATAATTAACTTACAGTAGGTGGCGCGCGTATCGTATCGACAAATTTATTTGAAAGTTATACATCACTCAATTTCAATGAACGTATTATCACTCCTAATTAAACAATATAACTATTTCACATTTAAAATGATATTTACACAATTATTTTTTTCTGTGGCAACATCGTGCCGTGTGCCAGCCAGTATTGTGTAATATTTAATGTCATTAGAGACCCTGTCCACCCCGTTGCCGCTTTAACGTATTAGTATACGTAACGTAACCTTACCAGAGCGTTAAAAAGGAAGTCACGGTATATTAACGCGTCCGTCTATGTGTGCGTGCGTCATCGTATACACCTTTTCACGTGTGTTTGTGTCTTGGAATATGTCAATATGATTTTAAAATAGATTCATCCGCTAACGTCACTGTAATGATCCGGCTGAACAGATGTATGGACCGATTCAGTGGTGCCGAGTCGAGTCCCAGTTTGGTAGACAAGTCTAATGGTAACCTTTACTCATACGACCCAATAGCACTAATAATACGACTTTATTATAAACTAGCTCTGTTCCCTGTGACTTTGTTCGCGTGGATTTCATAGGTTTAATATTTTCGCGCAGAACCCTAATTGTTTTTCTAAAATAAAAGTAGCCTAAGTTTCTTCTTATGACATCAGCTATCTGTCAGTGAAAGTCCCCTTTAAATCGGGCCAGCCATTTCGTAGATTAGCCGGAACAAACAGACAGACAGACAGACAGACAAAAAATTTTATAGTTGTTTTTTTTGTTTTAAGTACTTTACTGTATATACGAGTATACTTTCATATGCATTAAGTAAAATGATGTTATATTTTCTGTTTGTAATCAAACAGACACTTCAATTTTATTTATTTGTATAGATTTTGAAAATATAAAAGTGATTGATTGCTAAATAACTTTAATTCGTTATAGATCCTATAAGGTAATTTAAAATGAAAAATGATTCAAGAAACTTTTCAAAGACCTATTCAATGGTGCCCTACTTGACATAGGTAGTTCGTCAATATATATTTTTTTCTTTTTCACAATATGGCGTCTGGTTGTCGCCATATTGAATTTTGATTCGTGTCATATATTTAGTGACACCAACAAGATAATGACAAATCGATTGACCATCAAAATCCGCTAACGCGTTTGCTCTCTAGAGCGTCATATAGGAACAAACATACATATATAGGCTGATAAACACACTACCCTCCTTTGAGTCGCGCAATTGGGTAAAAAGGGAAAAGAGGCATACATTTACATTAAATCCTGCTCATGAATGAGAGAGATAGCTAGTTTTTTTAAGATTTCTAAAATTAAACCTATGGTCTCAAAGCCTTTCTTTTTTATTAGATTACTAGCTGTTCCCCGCGACTACGCCCGCGTGTAATTTATTACGATTGGATTTCATGGGTTTTAATTCTTTTGCGCGGAACCCTAATTCTTATTCTAAAATCAAAGTAGGCTAAGTTACTCCATATAACATCAGTTATCTGCCAGTGAAAGTCTCGTTTAAATCGGTCCAGTCATTTCGGAGATTAGCCGGAACAAACACAGACAGACAGACAGAAAGACAGACAGACAAAAATTTTAAGAATTGTGTTTTTGTTATAAGTACCACATATACTTTCATATGCATTTAGTAAAAAGTTGTTATTTTGATATTACAAACAGACTCTTCAGTTTTATTTATTTGTATAGATGAATTACTCACCTGCAATAGCTGCAGACGGCTCTAGACCGTGATAGTAGTATTGTTTTTTTTTTCTTTTTAAAAACGTTACCCCCACTCTAGGATTTTCTCTTGTGTCGTGGATGCAGTTTACAAACATAAATTGCACGAGGACAAACATCCAGACCTGGAACAATTATTTGTAGGCCATAAAAATACTTGTTCCGTGCGGGATTCGAACCCGCGGCTCCCAGCGCAGCAACACATTGCTAAGCCACTGCGCCACGGAGCCGTCTAAAATTCTATGGAGTTCTGTGGAGGAGGCTTACGTCAAGTAGTGGACTTGACATGGTTGTAATGATGATGATGGTGCTGAATACAAATGTAGTACTGTTGCACGTATTCATCATAATTACAGTGTATCAAAGTTGACTGATATCATAGGCCTCCCCCATAGAATGCCTCATAGGGATAGTGTAAAAAATGCCCCATATTGTTGCCATAGCTGCCACGCGGTAGAGCCATGCTGCAGCTATATTAATAGTGTAGTTGTAGCACGAACGGGTCGGCTGGACCGGTGAAGGACCGCGCTCTCACAGAATACCAGCGTAAAATGGCAGCTTGACACTGCTGTGTTTCGTATGGTGAGTGTAGAGAACCGGAGTCCCTCTTTACTGGAAAAGAGGCATTCCATCTTAGTCCTCACGGGTGACAACGCATCTGCATTTTGATTCCTTATTGAGGATAAACGTAGATGTCTATGGGCCACAGAAACCACTTACCATCAGGTGAATTGTGTGCGCGTTTGTCACCCTATCGTATAAAAAAAGTCGGGCTAGCAACCGCTGTTTTACATTTATGTTGAGTTGTCACTATGCTGTCCATCTTTCGTTTCAATTCCCTAGCAGGGTAGATCTATATATAGGATAATTGTAGATGCTTACAGAAATATGTGCAACTATTAACGCAAACGACGAGTCAAGTGCTCTGATAGTGATATTTTGACCACATAAGCGCCTTGAGATACTCTCTTTTTATTTTAGTTATACGTGGCCACAGAATAGCAGCATGAAATAACAGAATAATGCAGCAATGTTTCGTATAGTGAGTGTGGAGAACCGGAGGCACTTTTTACTGGAAACGAGGCATTCCCCATCTTAGTCCTCACGGGTGACCACGCATCTGCATTTTATTTCTTAATCGAGGATAGATGTAGATGTCTATGGGCCACAGTATACACTTATCATCAGGGTGACTGAGTCTTTGTCACGCTTATTCGACAAAAATATTAAATTGTACTGCAGTATAGTAATAACCGCATTGTATTGCAGTATATACAGTGCACATATACAGAAAATCCGGTGGATAATAATTTGTAAGGCGTGCATAATTCAAAACAGAAGGATGGACACAATTACAAAATGTTTGAGCGGTTGACGTTACGAGTGTGTTGCGGACTGTACACCGCTGTACAATTGCAAAACTGGGGGCAAAATATCGATATAGAAGTCTACTAGATGTGACACTTTATTATATTGTCCGTGAAAAAACGTTTATTTTAACAAAATTGAACAACGCAGCCACTGCGCGGACGAACTCTATAAATTTTCTATAAATATTAGTTTAATCTTCAGTAGATAAAAGTTTGCGCGTTTACCGCTAAAAAGAACCCCTTTATCGTATCTCGTCAGTTTCAAGGTACTCCCCTTATTGCCTCAGCCAGTATCGAAATCCTCGGCGTCGACATATCGAGTGACGTGCAGTTTCGTGGTCACTTAGAAGATAAGGCCAAATTGACCTCAAAAAAGCTTGGCGTGCTCAGCAGAGCGGGACAGTATTTCATGCCGGCACACCGCCTGCAATTTTACAAGGCACAGGTTCGGCCTCATATGGAAAAAAAACCGGCAACGCATCTGCGATTCCCTTGGTTCACCTGGTGTGGCAGTTGTTCACGGGCGGCGGTAGTCACTTACCATTTGGTGAGCCGCATACTCGTTTACCCCCTCTCCTATAACAAAAAATCTACTTTTAGGCATTGCATCTTAGTCCTCATTGATGACAACGCATCTGTAGCCGGCTTGGTTTAAAGTTGGTTGCAGTTATCCACGGGCTGTAGTAGCCACTTACCATATCATGCATGTTAGTTCACCTGTCACTTCAATTTTAATTATTTCTATATATTGCCATCGTATAAAAATAAAATATTTATTTTTGTACGGTTTTAAAACATTTAAGTTTATTTCCCTTTACATTTTCAAAAGTTATTAAATAATATGCTTTTAGTTGCCTATAAGTCTCTGACTTTTGTTTTTAATTCTTCTTTCTTTATATACGTATCCAAAATAATGCATGTAAACTATTTTGGTTTTCGAATATACGTAACTACGCTCAGTCACATCCATTCACTCTACATCAACGAACTGCGCTTGCGCAACTCATTGTGCTAGCCTTTTGTGCTTAGACCTTGGACAGGTTGGACGCAGCCGAGTTATTAGCCGGATTGTTCTGCGCCTGGTGACATTGGTCGTTTTGTTATACGCGATTGTGAGGTGGCTGACAATATGCATATTCATACTATACGCTGTAACGATTGTATGGAATTAGATTGCTAAGTACAGTACCGACATAAGATGTTTTCCATTCATTTGTTATTGCAATACATAGTAGAGCTATACTGCAGCTATATTATGGTTGCAGCACGAATGGGTCAGCTCGATCGGGGTGGGACCACGCTCTCACAGAATACCAGCGTAAAATAGCAGCTTAAAACTGCTGGGTTTCGTATGGTGAGTGTGGAGAACCGGAGAACATTTTTGCTGGAAACGATACGTTCCATTTCAACCTCAAGGGTGAACCGACATCTGCATTTTAATTCTTATATAATCGAGGATAGATGTAGATGTCTATGGACCACAACATCCATTTACTATCA